TTTTCAAATAACCTAGAATGGTTCCCCGGCAACGGCGCCAAAAAATTGGCTCGTTCTAGCTACAACATCCCAATCGACGGCCAAGTATAACCGTCGATCGGGTGTAGCATAGGACAAGCAAGCAATAAGAATTTATCGTACCACGAGGATCTAGGCTTACCTTACTTCAGGTTTAGGGTTCGTTATCTAGCCAATCCTAGGATAGTGATTAATAAAAGTAAGCTAACTAACCTAGACTAACCACTAACCTAGCTATATACAAGGTTTGGAGCTCTCTTGGGTTAAATCACCCTATTTCTGACCTTTGGATCGATATTGAGAATCCTCCTAGTTCGATCGGCTCAAATACTCTACCGTTTGGAGAAGGGCTCCCTCGGGAATGACCCGGAACGACAAATCAGTGGATGGGTAGTGCTCTATTCAACCTAGGGTATCGTATAATGCTAGGAGACCGGTCGAATCAACTCCCTTGGGGACTACCCGGGCAATGTACGATAGGATTGACCCGAAGACGCCAAGGAAGGGGCTCTAAGGGGATTATCCCACTCATAGGTCAAAAGCTCAAGGCATGAAAATGGAAAGCACACTCATGTCATTCATGAAAACATCCATCAATTAAGTAAAATCATTAATCAAACTAGTAAGTTGTCACATACATCAACAACAAACCAAAATCTAGACCTAGGGTTCTTAATCCCAAGAGAAGAGGGTGGGTTTCTAGAGAGAGAGAGGAGAGATTACAAAGAAACCTCTATATCTTCATCTTCTTCTTATAAGCTTGATTCCTAGCTTCCAAGCTTGATCAACGCATTCACTTAAGCCCCAAGATCACTCCCTCTCTCACTAGAACTCCCCTTTGGTGTTTCGGGTTGAAACCCTAGAGAAACAAAGTGTTCCTTCTCCAAAAACCAGCTCTCTTTTCTCTCTCCCCGCTGCTGTCTTCATATTTGCTCGAAAGTGACCTGTTCACGGCCGCGTTGGCCAGTTCACGGTCATGAGCACCTAAACGCATCTGTGAACTTAGTGTTGTCTCCAAAACGCACCGCTTCACTCTCGTGGGTTCACGGTTTGTGCTCTAAGACCGTGAACTCCCTAGGCGTCAGTAACTGCTGGAACCTCGTTGGACGCCTCGATGTTGACGGTTTGTGGTTCCTGTTCACGACCTTAGAGACCGTGAACTCCAATGCTAGGCCGTGAACTACAACTGTTTCATGGACGCTTGCGCTTCACTGTTACGGGGCAATTGTCACGGTGACTTTGGACTTTTTTCGGCTTTTGCTCTTTTTGACCTCCAATCGTCATGAAACTCGTCCTCAACCCTTCCACATGTGCTAGGACCTGAAATGTATCAAAACAAGCACAACCGAGTGTGAAATATGTCGACGGACGATGAAATGCAAAGCCAAATGATCAAGATCTGAGGGGAAAATTGTGTACAATTGGACCCGAATCAAGGGTTGAATCACACATGCCCCAAGTTAAATTTTATGCTTATACGATAAATTAAAATACAATATCCAATAAAATGTTAAGCTCAATTTTTTTTTTTGTATATTCACGATTAATAAGGGCCTCATTAACTACAATTGAAGTAATTGATCTATAGAAGAAAAGTTTTATGTTAACTAAAGTAAGTATCAAGCGACATTATCCATTTGAATCGTCGTATTTTAAAATAATTCAGAAAAAAGGACACGTTTTTTCACTGTCAACATTATTCAGGAGGCCCAATCAAAGTACCAATCACCATTAACTAAATTGATATTGAGATTACTTATATCGTCCCTCGATCCCCTCCTAACATTAGTAGTAATTGAATCATATGTTTTCATGTATACACTTTGGTCATACTACACATAAAAAATTATCAAATCACCACTGAACTAAGTTTATGTTGCAAGTGATAAAACTAGCAAGTGATCTAACTGTAGCAGATGATTAAAAAATAATTCCAAAATTATACCGGTCTTATTTTCTAGGGCGCTTTTTTGTCAATCACTCCAGTCGTATAGGTTGTGCTTGTAAATCAATTGAGGGGTTCCTACAATATCGTATATCAAAAATCCTAAATCAAACGTCTAAAGCAAAATGACTAACTCTGCAGTAGTTAACAACGCAAAGCAGTGGAAATTGGATGTAGTTAAATCTCAAGGAATGTCAAGTAAATTAAAGGGTTCTTTCAATGAAGCAAATGGCATATTCTGGTCTAAGTCCCCCCTATATTTCTACAAATTATCAATGCAATTTCATACCATTTAAATTGACTTCTCACTACTAATTTAGACCTATATGATTCCCAACAATGATCATACACAATTTCCTATCGATATAATCTTAATGAAAAGATAGGCCATCATCGTATAAGGAAGAAAAAGAAAAGATAGGCCACCAGAAGTGGAAATGACATTTATAATATATTCAAGACCTTGTAGTTCATGTTTTTTTTTTTTATATTCTACAAGAATGAGAGGTCATTTTTAGTCATAAAGCTTGAATTGAGATATAACCCCAAAGTGCACAATTCATAATCATAAAAAATAAGGAACAAACATAGGATATGAAAACCAAAAGAAGTAGTTAATCCAAAGAAACGAAATCAACATCTAATGACCTAAACACTGAGAAAAGTATAGGGATCCACCAAGTTGAATAATCTAGGTATTAATCAACACAAATACAAAGAAGTAAACCATCTTGTGCGTGATATACTACCAACTCCAATCGAATCTCATAAGACTGAGATTGAGTTTGCTCTTTGTCTTATCTTTTCAAAAACTTCTAAAAAGAGCATTTTTGTGACTAAACCTCCATAGGATGAGTTGTAAAAAGTTGACATCAACTCTCTACTTACTTCCCATACTCGTCAATTGGGGGAAGATAGGTAACGACAATGCGTAATAGTCGGTCAAACTCATCATATGAGCTAGTCCACTCGTCTAGGGCCAGGCTTACGGACATGTGTCCTATGAACTCGTCTTTGGACTTTTTGCCTGTTTTAATTTTCACGACTTGTCAGACCCACTCCTAGCCTACCTGCCTCGCTAGGGTCTGCCGCGAAGTTTTAAAGTTATGGATCCTTACTTCTTCACATCCATATTCCTAGTTCATTCATGCATTCCTTTTCTAGAGTACTAAGATCTAAAAACCATACCAAACAAGAAATTCCATTTCGTGACAATTAAAAAGACAATAAAAATATATTACATGGAAATAATGTTAGTTGAATCTCACACATTTAAAAGGAAATAGAGTACAAATCGTTTAAGTTTTAGACTTCTCCCCTATTTTTTCAAAAAAATCTAATATATTTTTAAAATAATAAAATAGTGTTGGTTGAGACCTAATACAATTAGAAGGAAGAAGTATAAATGTACATGATTTAAGACCTTTTTCTATCTAATTTTGGTAAAATATCCAATAAGATTCAACATATTTTCTTCTCTCAATTAAGAATCAAATCAACATAATTTTCCATAGTTTATGTCTTTCAAACTCCGACTCTTATAGTATTGTTGTAACTTTGTCTTGTACAAATTTTTCCATACTAAACACTTAAAACTCTCAAATTTAATAAGAAATTTCAAATATTTTTAGTCAATAGAAAACATTCAATTATTACCCTCACGAATATTTTTTTTCAACATTATCAAATTTTAGCATTTTATGATTCACTAGTAATCAGCCCGCGCTCTGCGGCGGGATATGTTACATTTCTGAGTCCTCGTAGATCTTACATGGAGCATTGCAAGTTTAAGGATATAGATAATGGAAATATAAACCATAAGAGAGTTCAATCTTAAACCCCATTCGTAATACTATTTGCCTACAATTAAGAGTGGATTGAAAGTCTTTCACTACTATAATGTTTATATTGCTGCGAGGACCAATGATTTTGGGATCTTAGATTAAAATGTATCGAGAAAATAACAAAATATTATCTTATTGCTGGAATTATTTTCATAAGACTGTCTTGTGCAGTAATGCAATACCAGTACACAAAGTAAATACCTAAACAGAAACCTAAAGTAAATACCTAAGAGTGCAAACACACCAAAATTCCATTTGTGCTTGAGTTGTAACATAGAGCCATGCACTAACAACAGTAGATAATGAATTCGCAGCACAAGAAAACTGCAGTTACATCGATACATTCCACAAAATAAACACACAGTGACCAAATGCAGTGGAAGGAGAACATATGTTGCCCATACAATTGGTTCTCCTCTTCTGCTTTCCCTTCTCACCTAGAATATGGGAGCAAAGAAACTTTTAATAAATCAAAGAGAAGGGGTTAATTGTATGGTTGGTCACTGAGATTACAAAAAGCGTTCATGTTTGGTCACTGAAAATATTTAAATCCAACATTGGTCACTCAAATTAGTTAAATGGTTCAAATTTGGTCACTCTCCGTCTAACTCCGTTAAATCTGTCTGATGTGGCAGTCAACCCTCAAAGTTGACCGTTAACTCGGTGACGTGGCAATTAAAAATAATAAATAAAATAAGGCTTAATTGTATGGTTGGTCACTGAGATTACAAAAAACGTTCATGTTTGGTCACTGAAAATATTTAAATCCAACCTTGGTCACTCAAATTAGTTAAATGGTTCAAATTTGGTCACTCTCCGTCCAACTCCGTTAAATCTGTCTGATGTGGCAGTCAACCCTCAAAGTTGACCATTAACTCGGTGACGTGGCAATTAAAAATAATAAATAAAATAAATTTTAATCTTCTACCATTTCCAACTCATTTTCACAATAAAATAAAATAAAATAATAATTATAATCACAAATCGGCTCGGCCTTGTCGACGTTCTTTTCTCCGATCCCCTAAAACCTCCATTAATGAAGCGCCAGTACGATTACTTCATGGTCCCTCCAATCTATACAGAAAGTTCGCAGCTTTCATTTTGCCAGAGTAAACCCCAAAAAACAGAGTGTACTGAGAGTGAAAGCCTTACTCTGTTTTTTTTTTACATTTTTTTTGTTTATAAACAGAGCAATGTCGAGCTCATCAATTCCCTTCTCCTCATTTGCCGTTGTGGGTTTGATCCTCCTCTTCGCCGCCGGACCTGCTTCCGCCCAGATTCAAATCCCGGCGAACGAATCCGTGCCGGCGGCTTTAGTGTTCGGCGATTCAATCGTCGATACGGGGAACAACAACAAGATCCTTACCTCTCCTGCTAGATGCAACCTAATCCTTACTTCCCCTGCCAAGTTCCCTTTGGTCATCATATTCCTTCTGATCATCTTATACGCCGTACCTGCCAGTGCAGCCATCCTGGCGCTGTACGTTCTCATCACTGTTCTGTTTGCCTTACCGTCGTTTCTCATACTCTATTTTGCTTATCCCAGTTTGGATTGGCTTGTCAGAGAAATCATCACTTGATATCATGGTATTTGCCAGCTACTTCATAATTCGATGACTTTACGAGCCTCAAATGTGGATCGCCATTGTGTATCTATGTAGATTATACATGAGCTTTTGTAATGAATCTCTTCTGCTTGCTCCCCATTGGTATAGGGTCTATGTTGGCAGCATAGGTACTGGAGGCAGAAGCCATCTTCTGCATCTACACTGTACTGGTTTCTGGTCATTTAGAGAGTTCTCTTTATGTAAGACAAGTTTGTGGTGATAGTGGATTAGGGAAATTGGTTTCGCATATATGTGTAATTAAATGCTACCATGCTAGTGCAGTCAGCTTCAGAATCAGTGGTTTCTCTGTTATACTCATCATTGCTTGGTCTTCTTCCTTTTTCACCATTGTAGTCTGACGCTGTCGAATAGCCTACCGTTACGATCCTGCCTTCGCCTCCTTCAAGAATGAAACCATCGAAGCTGCGGCGATGATGATCCCGACTTCCATCCTAGACAGCAAGTCCTTCTTCTGCCTAAAAAACTCATTCTCCCCTGAACTCGCTTCTCCCGCCGCCGCCGCCGCTCCCAAGCGGAGCCAGTACTGGGAAAACCTCGATTCCCCTAAAACCTCAATTTGTGATTATAATAAATTTTTTATTTTACTTTATTGTGAAAATGAGTTGGAAATGGTAGAAGATTAAAATTTATTTTATTTATTATTTTTTAATTGCCACGTCACCGAGTTAACGGTCAACTTTGAGGGTTGACTGCCACATCAGACAGATTTAACGGAGTTGGACGGAAAGTGACCAAATTTGAACCATTTAACTAATTTGAGTGACCAAGGTTGGATTTAAATATTTTCAGTGACCAAACATGAACGTTTTTTGTAATCTCAGTGACCAACCATACAATTAACCCCAAAGAGAAGAATGAGATACCAACCAATTTTAGGTAGCAAATTACAAAATAACGCTCACTGCTCTAACTTGCTGCATATCATAGAGCAAATAACAACAACAGATTTATAAAACAACAACGACCAACTCAGCCTGCAATAAGCAAAGTTGGTTTCCTATAATCTTTTTTTGGCGAATATAAGGTATTCGTCTGGATGTACAATAACAAACTGTTCATGAGCTGGGGAATGAACTTCTAGCAAAAAACAGCAGTTGGCAGAGAACGCATAGTTCCCACTTGATGGCGAGCCTTCATAATCTTCTTTCTGCTCCTGCAACCAACGAAGATTAGAACAAAGTGAAAATCCCAAATATTTTAGATCCGACGCGGGCTCCTCAACGTTATGAAGTTCCATCGCTTATATACTCTGCAGCACAAAACCATCTTTAAAAGCAGTACGAAAAATTAGTTGATCCATATAACGTAAATTGGGGCAAATAACTGAGTGAGAGAGTTCATTACTGTTATACGGCACACCTGTTTTGACACTGTTCTACAAACAGAGATTGCAACACATCACTCCAGTCGAGTCCTCCGCCATATCATCTAAAGATACCACAATACTGGAAGAAGGAAGAAGAGCTCTCAGGAGAGGCACTGTATACCTTTTTTTCTCAATGGGAGCTAATGATGTTCTTCATTCCATGACAACTTTGGCACCAATAGCTTTCATCTTCTCAGCATCTTCCTTTGACACTCCTGCCTTCAACACCGCTGGCGTTTTCTCCACCAGATCCTTTGCTTCCTTGAGACCCAGATCAGTAAAGCTCCTCACCTCCTTGATTATCTTAATCTTAGAAGCGGCTCAATCTCCCCCCTCTTCATTTTTTCAAGTCAGTTGCTTTCCCTCATTTCCTCCCAATCCCTAACAACCCAGTAGCCAAAACCAAATTAAACCACGAAATGAAGACAAAAAACCCAGAAATGGGCAAGCCAAACATCGTGACACCAACAAATGGATCAAAAAGTCAAAACTAAAATCTTTTCCACGGCAAACCAAACAGACACGGAATTTCAGATCGAAGAATTGAAACCCACTCAAAAGAACTTACAGCCGGGAAGCGGGTATCGAGCTTCTTCCTCATGCTGCCAGATTAGAAGCATAAAATCCGACGGAGAGAAACCACCCTAATACACAGCCAAGAAATGAGAATTCTCCTCTCTCAAGTCGCAGCAGCAGTTCGAAAGAGAAATCGACAAATCAATAGATGATTCCAATTTCAACTCGAGGTAAGACCATAGACGAAGCAGTTGTTAATTCACAAGAAAAGAGCATGAGCCATTCATTTCTATGTTAAGTGGCTTGATGCTACGTAGGGATGGCAATTTCGACCTGACCCAATTTACCCGACCTGTTTGGCCTGTTTTGGGGCAGGTCGGACCCGCCCCGTAGGCAGGGCGGGGCGGGCATGGGTACCTCTTATCGACCCGACCTGCCCTGACCCGCCCCATTCTCGACCTGTTCTTGCCTAAATTACATGTAATCTTAGTAAAATTACTTAGGATTTTCCTCTTATTACGTTATATTGTAGCTATAATAAAGTTGTAAATAAGTGAAAACATCAATTTCTTCAATAATTCAACTACATTTTATCATATTATGGTTTATTTTTTGTCTTTTAATGAAAATAACGAATAGTTCTAATATTTTTCGCATAAAATACGTACCCATTGGGTCGACCTGCCCCGACCCGCGCCCCGTGATAAATTACCCGACTTGGACCCGACCTGCCATGGGGCGGGTATGGGTATCGAGAAACCCGCCCCGGACCTGCCCCATTGCCATTCCTAATGCTACGTACAAAATTTGCTGATCAAAGCATCTATAGTTTAACAGCATGTGAATTAGATCGATCACTGGCTATTGCAGTCTGGTTCTTTTGCAAGAGGGAGTTGAACACGGTGATGATGATGATGATGATGACGATGGAGAGTGGGATGCAGATGAAGATTGATCATCATCTGAAGAAGTAGCAATAGTAGGAGGCATCGTCATCTTACGGATGTCATCGTCCATCTTTCTCTTGATGCTATTTCTCTTGCCTTTCTTAGCTTGATCCCCTTTCACCATGAAGTCTTTAAGCTTAGTGACATCAGACTTCTTCACAGGCTTCATCAGGAAGTCCTCAGCACCTTCTTCCAGACAACTGCATCAATGAATAACAGAAATTGAGATTTGCTGATCTTTTAAGATATGTTTATGGACTTATAAGAACATGCATCCCAGCACTGCACAATAATTGGAACATATGCCATCTTTTGCACATGGCCATTTCTGTAAACACTAATGAAACTCTTTCTATCTCATTTAAGCAAAATCCAGATATGGTTAAAACCTTCCTAGGAAACAACCTCATCTGGTATCTGAACTACAGGTCCAATAGAGATTCAAAGGCTCTAAGATCGGATTATCGGACATGAAGAAGTGAATTGTGACATACTACTTTCCCCAACTCAAAGTTATGTAGTACAAACTATTTTTTTTTCTTTATCATCCATGAACCATTCTGTGGTCGAGTTCGAAAGAAAAACGATTAACCTGCCATTTAAACAGTACCAGCCTTCCACCACAGCCCACCTCAAACAATCAAACAAATTCTATAGCTAAAAGTCAATTGATCTTGGACTAAAATTCCCAAGCAAACAACCAGATCTCTTAATATGGTCTGTAAGATCTAATCCATCCTATAACCAATCAACATCAGGAAGATATTTCCACAAAGACCAGATCTTGTTCATAAGCCTAACGTCCAGCCCATTCTAAAAGTCAGCAAAGAGCACTCAACTGAAACATGAAAATCAGGACTTGGTCAAAGATTTAGAAATTCACCTATGGATCCGGGTCAAGACGTTCTCGGATGACATTATCACAACCGGGATCTCTTTAAAAGCTTTAGATTCATGTTCAAGAGAGAAAACATGGAAATGGACCGAATCAGCAACAGAAAATTTGAATAACAAAGTTTTTGAAGCTTCTGATGCTTCGTCTATGCTCTTTACTTGGCAGCTGCTGATGTTGACCCTTTCATCCGCTGGTTCCTTGCCGCCGCGGATCCGATCGTCGTACGCTATGGATCTTCCCCATCATGGAACGACAACTTGATTTCTCTCAGTCGTGGATGCTGTCGCCAATCACGGTGGTTCCCTCAATAGCGGATCTGAAACCTAAAACTACAGTATCAAACGAAAATCAAAGAGAGAAACTCATCAAAGGATTTAGAGGCCGGTAAAATCACCACCATCAATATGTTTCGAAACCTTCACGGTGTACAAAGAATTCCAGCAACATATCACTGGTCCCCATTCATCCACTACCCAGGACATCATGGCCTTTCCCGGAGGTCGACGAACGGATTTCTTACAATGAACTCGTCGATATCTCCTTCAAAACCAATCAATCAAATCAATTGGGGGAAAAAGACAAATAGATAAGCCAGTTCGAGATGGAGAGAAAACGTTCACCTAATCAACAACGAAAGAGCTATATTCCACACACAACAGCGGAATCTCTTCGTCGTCGGAGAAGGAGATTCTAAGCGAGCCATTTTCAGAGATTGAAGAGAGAAAGAGAGGAGAGATAAAGGAGAGAGTAACCGAGATGAAAAATGGGAGGATGAATGCGTACAGTTGAAATGAAACCCCTAATAAATTAGTCTCTCACCTCCTACAAAGCTGAGCTCTTCTCCCAACGTATCCTCAGCACCTCACATCTTTGATGATGAAAAAGCATCGGTGATTGCACCCGTCAGAGAGAGGCACACTAGGCAAGGCATGTAGATGAGATTTGAGGCTCCCCAGAATTCTCGGGCAGAGGGAATCACATGCGATTTGAAGGATAGAGAGAGACAAAGAGAGAAGAAGTGACTATGAAGGGGGATTTGAGGGCAATGCGGCACTCACAGCAACAACGGCGGGACCCAGACGCAGGAAACCAACCAATCAGCAAAGGCGGCTGGACCCAATCGCAGAGGATGCACCAATGGGAGGAGGGTGAACAGTAATTTTGAGTCTAAATGAACATGAATGTCGTGTCTAGGCGTACAGTAACTTGTCTTTGCAAATAACTTGTTCTAATATCCAACATTAAAATACACTAAACTCCATACCATATTTCACAATAAAACAAATAACAAATATTCTCAGGTAGGTTAAAAAAAAACAAATTCTCAGGCAGAAAAACAAATCGCCAGCATTTTGTTACTATTTTCTACCAGAGAAAATTTATTATGATTATTTTTTCGGTGATTATTATCATTATCTTTTGCCTTGAGAATATTTTTACTTATTAAAAAATAGATATTCACGAAAACAATAACAAATACTTCGCACGTGCCGGAATCAAAGATACGTATAGGAGTCGGTGGTGCGTGCGAGTCGTCGCCGTCGTCGTCGAAAACTCGAAATTGACTCTTTTCCATTCCACAACTGCACAAAATTGATTTTGGAAAGCAAATTGCTCTTTTGTTCATGTAACTCAGCTACTGAGTCACTGTCTCCTCGCAATTCCCGGTTCTGATCTCCGATCAGGTAAACTCCGCAGAGGCCATTTCCATGCCCGTTTTGTAGGTCTAGGTTCTTCGCTTGCCATTTTCGCCCCCTCCGGAGTCTTTTCAGGATAGTATGTTTCTTTTCCGGGAAATTTATTGTGCGCACGGTTGAATTTATCCTCTCCTTCCTCTCTCCATCTCTAGGGATGGTAGAAAGTCTGTTTAAGCTGAGCATGCAAATCTTCGTGTGATTCAGGGAACTTGTGTCCCCGTTTCTGCTTGTGTGCTTGGTCTTGTGCTCGCCAAGGTTTTGATGATGCTCAATCGCGCATTTGTAAAATACCCCAGTCGTCTTCAAATTTGCTTTAGCTTGTTTATCCCGTTATTAGGTCTTCCTACTGCATGATGTCCCAACTGGGTTGGGCGAGTTGTGGTGTTATCTGTAGTTGAGTTGGTCCAAACCCTAGGCGCATGTATGAAATACGAGAGGACAGAAGCTCATGCGTTGGAGTTTTAGGACTGAGGGGCACTTTACTGTGTTGGTTTCACAATAAACTGAGACTGTGAGAGGGTTTTGAGAACTATGGTAGAGTGATTCATTTCTCCATTGTCTGTTTGGAAATTCTTCAGCAATTTGTAGAGTTCTGTATTGTCCTTATTTGAGTAGAGAAAATAGGTATTTTTTTTTTTGTTGTGGGAGGAATTCACGATGACTTCACTTAGATGTCTAGAAAGATTACTCAACAACTATGACGGTGCTGACTCTGCGTATTGTTCATGTTCTGTTTGATTTTATTCAGAAGGTGACATGAGATGGCGTCCCCACAGCCTTCTCATAATGTGGAATTGGAGGCTGCCAAGTTTCTACATAAACTAATTCAAGAATCGACTGACGAGCCGGCAAAACTGGCTGCAAAACTTCATGTTGTGAGTGCTGTTCTGATTCAAGAAACACTCCTCCACTTTTATCTCTTTCCTACTCTTAAGTTTAGAGTAAATTCTGTGAATGATTATGCATTTCAGATATTACAACATATGAAATCGAGTGGGAAGGAGCACTCCATGCCCTATCAAGTAATTTCAAGGTAAAGTAGACTGCTAGTTACCATTGATATTACCCACATGCAACCTGGAGCATTTAGTTTGTTTTGGTTTATCAATTAATTTAGTGGTAAAAGTTGGGACTTGAATGAATACTTCAGTTCATGCTGGGTAAGCTGTCCTCTGTCTGCTGTGTAGTATTCATCTGTCAATTTTTTCCTCCTAGTGGGTACTTAAGCAATTCATAATCTTCAGTATGCCTCACACACTGTCACGATGCATTTGTTTTTTCAACGCTTTGGCTTTCTTTCTACTGTATAACAAGTTGTTGAATGAAGCGGCTGAAGGTTAAGTTTTGCTCCACTGTACCTGTGTTACTCTTTGTGTTTTGTTTTTCCCTGCAACTCTATAAAACATGAGCTAACTAACTATGGCCCTTGACGGGATTTTCATAAACCTTGCTCTGTTTTAGCCTTCTATGGTGCCATCTGGTCAATCTACCTTAATATTAATAAGAGCTGGCCTAAGTTTTGAATTTCCAGAACCAAAAGTTTCACTTTTGTGTTGAGTGTTATTCAGGTGGTCCATCAAACCCAAGTAGGCACAACCATTATTCAAATGCCTTGTAGGGTTTTCCCACTTTGATCCGTCTGCCTCCTCTACTTTGCTCTCTGCTTCAATTCTTCCTCTTTCTGTTTCCGTAAAAGTGTCGTAGGCCATCTCAAGGGTATCCAAATCTTTCATTTTCCAAATTTCTCTTATGAAGCTTACTTATTTGATTCTCAATAATTTAAAATTCCTCTCTCTTAAATCATCAATTAGTTTTCGTTTGCCTCTTCTTGGTTTCATTTTCTGACTCTTTCAGTGTTCAAATTAATTAGTCATTTGTTTACCGATGGAAAGTCCATCATTTACACGCTGTGTAAATGGTGTTGTTGGTGTGTGCTTTTCCATTTAGTGTTTCTAGATTCTGTGTTGAAACAAAAGTAAGACCTTTTGTCCATTTTTCGTAACTATTTCTGATTCCTCTCTATATTAGCCTAGTATCCTCCCTTGATTGATGCAAGGAGCAAAATGACATAAATTGGGGAAACAATAATCTACCAATTTGATTTTTGTGACAGTCATTATTGAGTGAGGGTAGTCCCAATCTGAAGCTGTTGATTACTTGTGAACCTACTCTGAACAAGAGATGTGTCATATGTACATTATCTGAATTTTCTATACAACTAGATGAAGATTCAAGAGAAATAGAGTTCACTGACCATTTCCTAAAGTATACGTTTGACACTAATCAATGATTACATATACTATAATGAAAAAGGGGAGCTGTTCAAAGTTTTGTTAATATTGCCTTGTTGTTTTGTCTAGGGCTATGGAGACTGTTATCAACCAAAATGGCCTCGATATTGAATCTTTAAAATCTCAACGTCTTCCTATGACTGGTGGGTCTCAAGGTGGAGACTCGGCTGGTGCACAATATGCAGGTAAAACTTGTGGTATCCGAATCGGTTCTCGTTATAGTTTGCATCCTTTCTTGTCAAAGTGAAAATAATTTTTTACTTCGTGTCATATTTGGGCCATCTTTGATGAACAAAACAGCAAACTCTGCAGGTCCTTCTCATGCTATGGCTGACAATGAGGTATCTAAGGTTGATTCCCTGGTCACCAACAAGCTGCCTGTTGCCCCTGGTAGTACTGTCCATGATGTTTATCAGGGATCTGGAGCTCATAGGAGCAGTCAGTCTCTCGATCATGAAAGTCCTTCGAGTTTGGATACCAGATCTGCTAATTCACAATCTCAAGATAGAGTAGGAAATCAAAAGGATGGTAAAAAGGCTACCAAGAGGAAGCGAGGCGATTCTTCTTTGCCCTCTGAACCTCATATAGTTGACTCCCAACATGTTGATGCTCATTCTGCAGTTGATTTGAGGAAAGGAAAGGCCAACAGGGTTGACCCATTGGGGGGTTTCTCCACTAGGGGTAGTGAAAATAGTAGCTTCAGTATGGTTCCAGGTGGTAGTCAGCTGGAAGCTTCATCTGGGCATACATCTTTTGGTCAACAAGGGGGTTCTTTTCCGCCCGCACATGAAAATCTCTCTCCCAGAATGTCATGGAATCAAAATAAGGCAGCACTGGATCGGTCTCAGTTCCCCAGGTTTTCAGGCAATGCTGTTTCTGGTGGTGTGCCAGGAGAAGCAATTTTGCAGCAGTCAATGGTACCATCTCTTGTATCAAGTAAGATCAGTCACCAAATAATGTTTGTGTTTTATGTTTTCTCTTACCACATTTTTCTAATGCTATCCGTAAGCTTTGAACTTAGATTTAGTTCGAGGTTATCATCTAAAGTTGGACTTACTCCTTGGGGCATGCTTTTAATTAGCCACGAATCAAGAGTGGTCCATCATACTGAGGCAAAATATTCCTCCTTAAAGCTAGTTAAGTATTTTAGGGGAAAGAATAACATTAAGTTGTCTGCTGAACTTCGTGCTTCCCTTTACACTGCTTCATGCTGCTTATTTATACCATAAGAGACAACAGTATAGCTTCTTCCTTGAGACATATTGCAGACATATCGCTGATGGCTAGCTGTCTGTGGGATTCAAAATCTTGATGTTAATGCTATAGATTCTTTTATCAAAGGTCAGGGTGGAATATCTGTTCCTTTTGGTTCAAATGCAATGGGGGAACTAGGATTTTCTGGTTCAGCACAGATCAGTGGTGCTGAAAGTCATCTGCTTGGATTTGCAGGACAAACTGCAGCAAGTCTCTCTGAAAATACCACAGGAGGACATAATTTCCAAGTTAACCGCATGGACGAGACATCCACGCCACTTTCAGTAAGAAGGGTTCCAGAGAATGATGGAGGCAGTTCAAATATACTTGGAGACCCAACTAGGTTCAGTCAGGTACTCTAGCAATCTTCCTAATAAAACTCAGCTTTATTTTGCAAGGCCCAGAGATATTGAACCCATTTAGGATTGGAGAATTCCCTTCCTTCAATTATGTTAGATTCTGTACTGGCATCTGTTTTCAACTTTGGATAGGAGTCCACGGGACTTAGTGTAGATTGTGTTATACCCTTATTTTATTCTGCCATTGAATGATTGTTTCATCCTAAGTTAATTTTAGTCAATGATTTGGATCTTGATGATGTTTCTTTTGTTTATTTTTTAATCTATTAATCGTGCACTGTATTTTGGATGTGGTTTTAATGATACTTGTAATTATTGCCAGGCGACAGCAGCTTCTAGAGATACGGGAAAATCTCCAATTTCTCAGGGTAATGCGTCACCTGGCATGCCTTTCAGGGAGCAACAATTGAGACAGCTTAGGGCCCAATGCCTCGTCTTTCTAGCATTTAGGTTGGCAAGACTTTTTGTGCTTTTGACTTCTTATGGCAGTAATGGAAGGTGAGGTATTTGTTCACTTAGTTTCTGCAATGATTTATTTATTTGAATATGCAGGAATGGTTTGGCCCCAAAGAGGTTACATCTCGAGATAGCTCTTGGAAGTATCATTAATAGAGATGGTAAGAACTGTTTATTGGCTACATGACAAGGTCTCTTGAAACCCCAATACCAGGCTCATGTTGTGAGCTTCAGTTGCTATTACTTCATGTATCTGGTGCTGCCAGATTCAGGATGCTATGTTTGGCTTTAGAAATAGAAGAAACCGAAAAGGATATTTCAATGCACACTGCTAATTATGTGTTTGCAGAGCTTTGCCTATCAAGTATCTTCTGTGCCACTGAGTCGATCTTTAGACACAAGCCATTGGGATTGTCTTGGACTAGGATATACATAGGCTATTTTTGTTTGATGTTATTTTTTACCTCCTAAAATGTCAGTTGAGAAAATACCTCAAATAAGTGTACTTCTTAAGTTTTGAGTATAAAATGTAGATCAATATTAGAGGTGGCCTCCACAAATTTAGTACCTCCGTAACATTTCTTCCCCACTCCCCTCTCCCCAAATTAAATTTTAAACCTAAAAAGGCTTTCCATTTTAGTTATTTTACAAAATTTACCCGTTCCTTTTGATTTGATAGTAAAGAGAATCTGTGATCAACACTATTTGTAAAATCTAACCACTCTTACTCTTACTCCTACAGCTTAAGTTTTAGCTCTTAAATTTAGACATAAGATGTTCTACACAGCCATATCAAACTGCAGACGGAGCTTAGTTTACACTACCCCTATAGGTTCTTGTAATATTTATCGTTCAGTGTACTCGCTCATTTGAATGTTCAGCTACTATTTTCTAGTTGGTGATTATCTATTGTAAATGCAGAAGCTATTCGTAGGGAGCTGGTGGATCATAAAGGAAAATCTTCTAATGAGCAAACCAACTTTCCAGGAGTTGCAACCTCATTCGCATGGGCAAATAGTGCAAGGGAAACTGATAAGGTCCCTCCGGTTGCCTCAACTGCTGTAAGATATTTAGATGGTAACTCTTTACCAAAAGATGTTGACAAATTGAAGCCTGATGAAAAAGTAGGTTCACATTCTGACCATTCCGTACTTGTTGATGATGGGAAGCATCTTGTGACAAGAAAGCTGGATGCCGAGAAGCAGGCCCAGGAAACTGTTGGGGCACAGTCGTTCGCTTCTAATCCATTGCAGCAGGATGATTCATCGAATACAAGGGGCAGTTCACCGATTGGTAATACTGTAGAAAGCATAGATAATGGACGTGCCCAGAGTGGAAGAATCAATCAGGCCTCTTTTTCTACTGGTGTAAACAAGCAACTGAACCCTGAGGCAATGACTTGGGCAGGAAGTCATAATGAGGTGGCTCAGGAATCATTACCATCATGGGGTGCTCAGCATAACATGGCTTTAAACAAAAAGGACAGTGCTCCTATGCAATCCCAAAATCTTGTGAACGGTGGTATCTCTGGTAAATAAATTACTGATGATGATTTCTTTTTGATTCATTTAGGTTTATATGTGCATGTGTACCATTTACTGGATTATGCCTTTGGAGGTGTTATCAGCAGAAGCACTTACCATGCACGTGTCCATTGTTTTGGTTACTTGCAGATGATGCAAAATTCCCTGAATCTCAGACTAGATACCATCCAGATGGGTGCAAAGTCCCGCTAATTGACGACTCTTCAAGACATGGAAATCCTGCTTTAGCTGAACAAGATGATGAAGATAACTCAGCTTCTGTTGATTTGCCACCCCCAAGGTACACCATGTCAGAGAAGTGGATTATGGATCAGCAAAGAAAGAAGCTTTTAGTGGAAGAAAAGTGGGCTTTAAAGGAGCAAAAAGCAAGACAAAGAATAACAATTAATTTTAACCAGTTGCAGGTTCGTTATGATACTCTGTTTTCTCATATTGTTTTTTCCTTCTTGTGTACTTGTTGGTGCTCTCCTCATTTTCATTTCTTATAATATATACTTATATTTTCATCCTAATGAAATTATCTAGGATTTGAATGTTGCACTGATGTAGTATGTGCTTGCGTGTGCATGTCTCTTTTTTTTTAATTCATTAAGGAAACTGTGAGCTCCTCTGAAGATATATCTGCCAAAACCAAAAGTGTCATAGAATTGAAAAAGCTTAAGTTGCTGGATCTGCAGCGCCGTTTGAAAAGGTAATGATTTCCCCTTTCTTTCTAACAGTTGTGACTCATTGGATTTTTATATGCACATGTTAATTTGATCGCGTCCCTGCCTTCTAGTAATTTTGACTCCCTTATGCTGGTAAATTTTGGCAGTGAGTTTCTGAATGATTTTTTTAAGCCAGTCACAAGCGACATGGAGCGCTTAAAATCTTATAAAAAGCATAAACATGGTAGAAGGATAAAACAACTTGAAAAGTATGAGCAAAAGATGAAGGAAGAGCGGCAGAAGAGAATCCGAGAGCGGCAGAAGGAATTTTTTTCTGAGCTTGAAGTTCACAGGCAAGGACCTCATTTTATATTTTGGTTTTGATTCGCTTTATCCTTTATAGATGTATATGTAGCTGTTATCTTTGTAGCTCATTTTTTAGTTTTAGGCAATGTTTTATTGACTAGCTGAGTGGCCTAACTCCAGGGAAAAAATGGAGGATGTGTTCAAGTTCAAGAGAGAAAGGTTAAAGGGTTTCAACAGATATGCAAAGGAGTTCCACAAAAGGAAGGAGCGTGCTCACCGCGAGAAAATTGATCGAATCCAGCGCGAGAAGATTAATTTGCTGAAGATTAATGATGTGGAAGGATATCTGCGTATGGTGCAGGTCGGATGTTGTTCTCTAAAGTGGACTGAATCTTGGTTGGCAGTTTTTTTATCAAGTTTGTTGCAATGTTAGTTGGTGGTTCTTTTGTAGGATGCAAAATCAGATCGTGTTAAGCAATTGCTGAAAGAGACAGAGAAATACCTGCAAAAGCTGGGTTCCAGGTTACAGGCAGCAAAGGCTATTGGAAGCCGTTTTGAGAATAACATGGATGAGTCGCGTACTATTGCTGCTATTGAGAATGAAACAGCTTTTGACAATGAAGATGAAAGCGACCAAGCAAAGGCAAGTCTCATATGAGCAATCTTGAGTTTGTGTTTTACTTTTTATGTGTTAGTTTTCCATTCTCATTATTCCTGTTGTCTTCCAGCATTATTTGGAAAGCAACGAGAAGTACTACCTAATGGCTCATAGGTATTAAGCTGCTTTTGTTATCCTTATTTTCTAAAATGTTGCCCCACTTTGTGTATAGTTGAGTTGCTTTCTTTTTGTCAATTTGATTTGTTATTTTATTTAAAAACCAAATCATTCTTGACTTTGCTCTTCTAGATTGTACTTTTACTCTGTTTGTTGATATGTGGAGCTTCGAGTGTTGAACATCCAGTTATTCACTGTCCTATCTTCCTTTGTTAGAATTGTTCGATCAATAATGGTTGGCTCTTGGTATGCAGTATAAAAGAGGGCATTGCGGAGCAACCAACTTCTCTCAAGGGTGGAAAATTGAGGGAGTGAGTACATCTTGCTTTCTTTTCTGTTTTATGGATCATTTTCTCTCTCTACCCCTGTACGTCCTTGTGTGCAAGCACCTGTGCATTTGTGCATAATTGTGATGTTGAGGCAGTGGATATTCTCCTGGCCTCTTGTGTTCTATTAATGCGTGAGGGTGATATCTTGTGTAGATACAGGTGCTTTGTCATTCTGACTTAAAAATATTTCGTAAATTGCCCTCATGTTCTCCAGGTACCAGATGAATGGATTGAGGTGGTTGGTTTCACTATATAACAACCATTTAAATGGAATTCTTGCTGATGAAATGGGCCTTGGGAAAACTGTTCAGGTATGGGGTTTGTGTGTAATAATACAATATCACTTAGTTGCGATATCACAAAAACTAATGACTTTCATTTCTGCCATGGGTTTTGACCAGGTTATATCTCTAATTTGTTATCTGATGGAGAGCAAAAATGACAGAGGTCCTTTCTTGGTGGTTGTGCCTTCTTCTGTTTTACCAGGATGGGAATCGGAAATTAGTTTCTGGGCCCCCAGTATACATAAAATCGTCTATTCTGGACCTCCAGAAGATAGGCGTAAATTATTTAAGTAAGAACATGAGGACTCTTGATGTACTTGTTTTCTTGTTCTCTTCTGTTATGTTGGGCCCCAGATGTCAGCAAGGTTGTTTCTGTTCATTTCAGGGAGAAGATTGTCCACCAGAAGTTTAATGTCCTTCTCACAACATATGAGTACCTAATGAACAAGCATGATAGACCAAAACTAAGTAAAATTCATTGGCACTACATTATCATTGATGAAGGCCATCGCATAAAGAATGCTTCGTGCAAATTAAATGCTGAATTGAAGCACTATCAGAGTTCTCACAGGCTGCTGTTAACTGGAACACCACTGCAGGTACTGTGGTCTTTTTTCCCCTTCTCGTCTCTTTGAATTTAGCAATTATGTTTATGGCCTATAATTTAGAAGCTGAGTTCTTTTACTTAGACTTCTGGGTGTTTGTGTGCTTCATGCATTATATCTGTCCCTGGCTTCTTGTTGGGGATATGAATTGACTGCTTGATCTTTCTCTTGTGCAGAACAATCTTGAGGAACTCTGGGCGCTACTAAATTTTTTGTTGCCCAACATTTTTAACTCATCTGAAGATTTTTCTCAGTGGTTCAACAAGCCATTTGAGGGTACTGCTGATAATTCGGCTGATGAAGTAAGCCATTTAATTTACTGGTTTAGATACTTAGTTTGGTGAAGTTATACTCATTCTACAAGCACTTGCTTCCCCCTCATTAGGCTTTACTATCCGAGGAAGAGAATTTGTTGATCATAAATCGGCTTCATCAAGTTCTGAGACCCTTTGTTCTTCGAAGACTAAAACACAAGGTCTTCTCTCGTTGGATATCCTGAATGGAGTGTTTCTTTCATTTATACTTGTTTTATCAAACAGTTTTACTCCTAGCTATTTATACATGCTTCCTGCATTCTGGAAATACTTTGATAGGTTGAGAATGAGCTTCCTGAAAAGATTGAGAGACTGATTAGGTGTGAAGCATCTGCATATCAGAAACTTTTGATGCAACGGGTTGAAGATAATCTTGGCGCAATTGGAAGTACAAAGGTTTATCGACAGTATATTTTATTCTGTGTTTTTGTCTGACTTTGAAGATTTATGATTTACAGTGCATATAGTATAGTTCCTTAGTCTAAACTTGATTGCCATTGTCTTTTGCAGGCACGTTCAGTCCACAACTCGGTCATGGAGCTTCGCAATATATGCAATCACCCTTATCTTAGTCAGCTGCATTCAGATGAGGTATGCTTTTCGTTCTGGGGCTAATTTTGTTTATTTTTCTTTCCTACACTGCTTCCCGGTTCCTTCTCTTCTTGCGGGGTAAGGTGGGGACTGCTGTAACGTTCATATTTCTTTTTTGTCTTTTGCTAATGTTAACAACCCTTTTCATTTATAAAATGTACATGTTTTGTAGGTGGAGAGCTTTATGCCTAAGCATTTTCTGCCACCAATCATCAGGCTTTGCGGGAAGCTTGAGATGTTAGATCGATTGTTACCCAAACTGAAAGCTACAGACCATCGGGTATGGATTCAATACTCCGTAATTGTCCATGTTCCTTTTCGATGTATTACTTTTTGTTGATTGTTTATGTTTGATTCTTTTTGAGTGTGTTTATTTTAGTTTTTGCTAGGATAATTATGACTTTTTTAGTTACTCGTATGTTGCTGCCTGGTAACATTGCGTATTGAGGGATATTATTAGGATAGAAATCCGATGAGAAGAAAAAGAAAATTTTAATTGTCGGGTCAATTTTTTTTTACGGTCGTGGAGAAAGAAAATTCTAATTGTGTCTGGAAAATAAAAAGACTATACCTGTAAAAGAAATATATAGAAAATATCACGGCATAGCTGTGCATGGATGAAGAGACAACTAAGAAGCAGAGTAACATGTCCTCCTGCTAAAAAGCAGATAATTGTGGTATTTTAGGTAGTTTGGACACATGTCCTTCTGCTAACTCTTTTGGGGTTGAGACTTGCCTTTTATACATAGTTACTAATAGTAATTGACTAGTATGGCTACAATTTTAGGAATTTTCGAGGAACAAAGTTGGAAATGGATGTTTGTAGTGAGTAAGCTTTTAGATGTTAAAGTTAGATGAAGAAAATATATCCTTTGAGCTTTTAAAGTTTATTTATTCAAATTAAAACAAACACGCCTTTTATTTATGAGATAATTCTTTTTTAGCATGCTGGCGATGTATACTTTGTTAATTGGTTGTTTGTCTTTCATTTATATTTGTCAGTTCTATACTTTTCTATGCACCTTTCTCATTTGTGGGGCGTGGCAAAGTAAATTGATTTATTATACATCATATTAATTTGTAGTTGTGGTTCTGGCAATTTTCAGGTACTTTTCTTTTCAACAATGACAAGGCTTCTTGATATTATGGAAGAGTATCTCACCGCAAAACAGTACCGATACCTTCGACTGGATGGTCATACCTCTGGTGGCGACCGTGGTGCACTTATTGATATGTTCAACAAACAAAGTTCTCCCTTTTTCATCTTTCTGCTCAGGTAAATGAGGGACCATATGTTCATACCTCTGGATAATATTTTTGTTAGCGTTGGAGTAGATTCACTCTTCTGGTGAAACTGCCAATGTTCAAGAAGACGCTAGGCGCTATCTAGGCGAGGAGGTACCGCCCAGCGCCCAGGCCGATTAATCGTTTCCTACGCGAGATTAAACGTTGAAAAAAAAAATGATAGATAAGCCATATTCCACAAAAACCCAAGTCGCCATATTTATTATTCATCCATTCATATTCACATACAACCCATTTCCACAATCCCAAACATCCCAAGTCGCCAACAATGAGGAGGGATCTCACTGCTGGTCTATGAGGGGGAGCGGCTGGTTGAATAGAAATGAGAAAAAGAATAGGGTTTAGGATTTTCACAAAAAGTCTACACTTTCCCCCTTTATTAATTGTTCTGGGCGTCGCCCACCAGAGTGAAAACACGCCGCCGAGTGCCTAGGTGCCTAGATCAATCGCCCAAGGCTAGGCGGGACGATTTTCTCCTGCCCAGCTATTAATCGTGCCTAGGCGAGAGATTAATCGCGTCTTCTTGAACACTGGAAACTGCAAATCTGGTTTTCGTGTGATCACCACCTCTCGCGCGTTATAGCTTTTAATTTTTATTTTGGCCCAATTTAGTTCAACTATAAGATGTAAGAAACCCATACTAGGTTCAAATCTTGGACGCAGCATCATCTATGAAGAAAAGATATAGCATGACGATCTGTTGCATCCAAGAGCAAGCAATAAATATGCTTGGTGTTGGTTACTTCTTTGGGGCTGGTTTGTAAAACAATGAATTTTGACTAGCTTATGAGCTGACTTTTTGTTGCCTCAAAATCTTTCTTCTGTGAGCATTTTACCTCATTCCTGCTTCCTGGTCAGGGATTTGGCTTTAAAACTGATAGTTTGTGGTGTCGAAGAACTAACATTTAATTTACATTGTCAGCATCCGGGCTGGTGGTGTTGGAGTGAATCTTCAGGCTGCAGACACTGTCATCATATTTGACACGGACTGGAATCCTCAGGTTTTGAAGAGAACTAGACTTTGAATCTGGAGCATGCTAGTGCTTTTATAACTCCCACTTTCTTAATACCTTGTTCTGTTTGTATTATTAGGTGGATCTTCAAGCACAAGCTAGGGCTCACAGGATTGGCCAGAAGAGGGATGTGCTTGTTCTTAGATTTGAAACAGTATGACGCTACCTCCCCAAGCAAAACTGTGGCTTTTGTATCTAAATGTCGGCCTAAAGCATTATTGGGTTTTGATTAGTTCCCTCATTTTATTATTTTCATGTCTTAAGGTGAAAACTGTTGAAGAACAAGTCAGAGCTGCTGCTGAGCATAAACTGGGAGTTGCTAACCAGAGTATTACAGCTGGTTTCTTTGACAACAATACAAGGTGAGTTAGAATGCGTCATTTTAACTGTTTCTCCATAGAATCTTGCAATAGAAATTCCTGGTGGTTTAACTTAGGTACATTTCCATTGCTTAATTAACTTTTATGTTGCACAGTGCTGAAGATCGTAGAGAGTATTTGGAGGCCCTCCTGCGTGAGTCAAAGAAAGAAGAAGCTGCCCCTGTCTTGGATGATGATGCTTTGAATGATATCTTAGCACGCAGGTATTTATTGCTTACAGTTTGTTTTCATCTGTCACAGGATTGGAGGCATGGCTGTTAAAGCCATCCCTTTAGCTGAAGCTTCTCTTCGGCTGGCCTTAAGTAAAGGCACCGGAAGCCATGTGTTTGTTTCTTGTTTTGTTTGCTTTTGTCTTCGCTTTGGTTCGATGAGTCAGTTAAGTGCTTTTCATTATTGTGTTAAGGTGAATGGAAAAGTTGAAAATTAATTGAAAGCCATGGAGCTGTGTAATTCCGTGTGCAGAAAAAAAGAAGTGACCTAGCCGATTTTCCTTAAAACAAAACCATGATTTGAATGATTAAATTTATTAAGTTATATACTGTGAGCATGGACTAATGAACTTTAATGTTTATTCTGCACACATATCATAGGTTACTTTGTTATTGCTTGTTAGTGTGCCATGTCTTAGTACCTTGGTGTGAAGGCAGCCTTTATGCCTTAGTTCATCTTGTTTGATTATCTCCTTGGACTTTGTCTGTACCAAAAATTACTGATTGCGAACCTTTGCCTGCAGTGAGTCTGAAATTGATATATTTGAATCGATTGACAAACAACGGCGGGAACAAGAGACGGTATGATGCTGAAGTTTGCAGTTCTTGCTTGATACTTTATGGTGGCTAGACTTACTCGATTTCACATACCTGCAGGAAATATGGAAGAAGTTACTAGCCGGACAGGGAGCAGATGTTCCTGAACCATTACCTCCCATGCCTTCTCGCCTGGTTTCAGATGACGACCTGACGTCATTCTTTGAAAAAATAAAGCTATATGATGTGCCAAAAGATGATGAGGCACCTAGTATCGGGACAAAGCGGAAAGGTCAGTCACAGGGTCTTGATTTTCAGCACTATGGAAGGGGCAAGCGGGCAAGAGAGGTCTGTTACCCAACTTCAATTTTGTTTTTGCTGTCTCTTAATGATCTGTTGGCTCCTTAATTAAGAGGCGCCTTGTTAAGTTATTTAAGTCGTTCTGTTTAGGTGCGGTCATATGAAGAACAATGGACTGAAGAGGAGTTTGAAAAGCTGTGTCAGGCTGACAATCCTGATTCCCCAAAACCAAAAGAGGAACAAGTCGAGATGAACCTCCCAAAAGATGCCAGTGTTTCTGTCTCGGTCATTGCTAGTCCAGAACCTACTGCTGCACCTACTGAACCAGAGTTGTTGCAGCATGTACTTCCACCACCGACTAGGGAGGTAACAATAACTCCATCTAAAAGAGGACGGGGAAGGCCAAAAAGATCAAATGTAACTCCGCCAGAGCTGTCAGTGCCAACTCCTGCTGGACTTGTCAAAGTAGATATGGGGTTACAGACAGGAGTTGATGGTAGTTCTTCTAGTACATTAGATCCTAATCCCTCTCCTGCACCAAATTTGGTCAGTGTTGGTACAATTGCCCCTCAAGCTGACACGGGCACTGCTTCCACACTCCAACCAACTATTCCTGTAACTTCTGGGCAGAGTTCACAACCTTCTCTGGTTTCTCCTTCAGTACCAATGGCATCAAGGGGCCGCGGCCGTAAGTCTCAACGTGGTGGATATACACCACGCGGTAGGGGAAGGAAAATGGGATTTGTGTCAGCTACTCCTGAGAGCATTGCATCTCATGCTCCCGTTATTGGTGAAGCTTCGCAGAATGTCTCCAACAATCCTGTAATCAATGCCAGTGGCGTCACAGCTTCTGGATATCCTGGTATAGCACCAGTTATTGCACCTGTTCAAGTGAGCAGTGCAGCACCCGATCAGTCTGGTTCACAGACTACTGTAGATACCGGTCCAGTCCCTCCTGCTGCGACATCTTTATCTATCCCTTCTGCTTCCACTCGGATCAAAGAACAGAGTCCAAAGGCTCAAAGTGGGACTGGAATTCCTCGACGCAGAGGAAGGAAACCTTCAGTTAAAGTTCCGCCTGATGTTCCAGTCATTTCAGCCGCTCAGATTTCACATATGAGCCTACCACCTTCAGTTCAAGTTCCACCTGCTGTTCCAGTTGTAGTAGACACTTTGGGAGGCAAAGCTGCAGTAGCTGGAAATGATCAAGGTAATGATTCCAATGAATCAACAAAAGGTGACCTGGGCCAAACACCCGAAGTAACTATTCCAGCTCAGGTGTCAAGCCAACATTCAGGTGAAGTGAGCCAACAGGATGAACCAACAAGCTCGGCCACCATGCACAACGCTGCTACTAGATCTATGCTAAGCCAACATTCAGGTGAAGTGACCCAACAGGGTAAGCCAACCAGCTTATCAACCACCATACATAATGCTCCTACATCTATTGCTAGATAGATGAAAAACTATTTGCCCCTTATGAGACTTGGTTTGCATACTGAGTTTCGTGAACAATAACTATGGAATTGACAAATTGATACTAAAACAAAGTGTTTATGCAGGTTCTTCTCCTGTGAGAGATCAAACTGCTACCGTGTTTCATGCAGCCACCAATATTAAGGAGCTTCCTGTTGAAAGTAGTTCTACATCAAAATCAGGTGACCCCTTCAGAAAGGAAGGTGGTGTACATACACCCAGCAGGGCTTTCATTGATAGAGCTCAAAATACAAGCGCGGGAGGTAAAGAGTCTGCAGTTGTTGGTCCTTCATGTGAATCACAGCATGGCTCTGGTGTAGAAATTGGTCAGACTATACCAGAGTTGGTCGTGAAAAGTGCCTTTGTCTCTCAGCCAACCCCAGCTCTTTCTTCTGTAGGCTCAGTCTTTCAACCTGACCCACCTCAAGCAGGTCGAGGTAGAGGTAGAGGCAGAGGCAGAAAGGCGGCAGGCAGAACGGACGCCCCCAGGCGAAGGGGAAGAAAACCTACAGCTCCTCATCCTGCTGATTCATTGGGAGTTAAGACCATGTCCCTGAGGAACAGACAACGGACCGAAGCTAAGGAGATCACACTTGCTGTACAGGTATGTGTAACTCTTCAGTCCTTATTGTAGGTAAGCTCATAAAACCTTGAACGTTCTAGCTTCTGCTCAAAAGTTCATCGTGCTGTATGTTTGTTTGATTATCCTTCCAGGAGACCCAGGTGGCTAATGCTTTTGTTTGTCAAGACTCTAAACAAAGGGAAAATACATCTTTAGGCCGGATTCAGACTGCAGATGTGACTGATGTTGCACGTGTGATGAAGGAGATCTTCTCTGAGTCTTGCTCATCTAAGGGTAAGAGTAGTGACTCTTCTAAAAGTGAATGTAAAAGCGCTGGCACACCTGTATCTTGTATGAAACCTTCACCAGTCACCGAAGGCCAAAGCTCTGGGGATAAAATTCATGGATCTGTGTCTTCCTCGCAAGAAGTCATTCCTGCTGAAGGAATCTCCCTTGACAAATTTGTCCAGTCTGTATCTGAAGTAGGTTTCAAGGTGGATAAGAGGAATCTGCCTGCTGTGGATGCTGATTCTGTGACTAATAATGACTCTTGCAAAGTTGAGACCAAGGTCGATTCATCTCTAGAATCTGCAGGTGTTGATAAAGACACTTCCAGAAGTAAGACAAATACCATTGTTCTTGGTATAGATGCATCCAGCAGTAGGGTTGTTTCAGTTGGACAATCTCAAGGTGTTGGGAGACACGTATCTTCCAGGGTTATATCGAGTAGTACTGTTGAACGTGCATCTACCAAGAAGGTTGGTTCACCTGTACAAACTCAAGGTGCTAAGAGGCCTCGCATTTCATATGATTCTGTTGATGTTGTTAATGTAAGCTTCATGCGGCCTCCTGAGTCTCCTCCTGATGCCTCCATAGAACCTAGCGGAGCTCATGGCACTGCAGAGCATCCCGAGAAGAATTCAGAAGACAAGACAGAAACTTCTGTAAAGTCGTTTCCAGAGTCTCAGGTTGAAGCTACTATATTAATTGAGAAGCATGGCAGCGAGGCTAATACCAGTGCTACTAAGTTCGATGATACAGTTTCTCAACCTGAAGATAATAGCGGCAGCATCCAACTGGATCAAGAAACTGGAAACCCGGAGAGTGAACCTGCCCCGGTGTTCAATGTGGAAGAACAACAGATATCAGCCGAGGAGACCGTGTTTTATGAATCTGCTAATGTAAAGAAGCATTGTGGTCCAAGTGAGTTGCAGTCACAAGTTGACAGTAGATTGCCTGATGATTTTACTTCTGAAACAACCAACACTGAGCTAAGTTCAGAAGATCATGTTGGAAATCAGCTTCAGCCAAGAGTTGCAGATCCTTCAGAACAGGTTGGTATTTGTTGAATGAGTGATTCAATTTGCCTCAGCTTTTGTTTCCTTGGAACCCCTTAGTCTCGTTTTGTTATAAAGGTTGTAGGTTGATTGTTGATTGTCTTGATTGCCCACTGTCTAATTACTTTTCCATATTTCATGTTTGATTTTGTTGTTCGTGCACTTGACAGCCACTTTATGATATTAATTTCCCTCACTAAACTTGCTTGACCTTTTATTTTGACCAATTTAACAGCTCTCTTTACCAGAAGATGCATTTGCCAAGGAGCAGGAGTTAAAAAGCTCTCGAGATGAGAGGCATCATCAACAATCGGCGGAGAGTCTGGTAGAAAGGTCAGTAGTGTCGGAAGACGTGCAAGGCTCTGACACTAACAAAGATCGTGGAATTGGTTTCTCTGGAACTGGTAGGTGTGTCTCACATGACCGATCTTCATCTAGTAAGTCAAAGGATTCAGTTATTTCGGAAGATGTGCAAGGCTCTGATGCGAACAAAGATTGTGAAGTTGGTGACTCTGGAACTGCTAGGAATGTCTCTGATGATTACCATTTATCTAAAGAGTCAAAAGAGTCATTTGTGTCAGAAGAAGTACAAGGCTCTGACGCGAACAAAGATTGTGAAGTTGGTGTCTCTTTAACTGGTAGGAGTGTTTCAGATGGCCTTCCTTCATCTAGAGAGTCAAAAGAATTAGTCATGTCAGAAGAAGTGCTCGGCTCTGATGCTAACAAAGATTTTGAAGCTGGTGTCTCTGGAACTGGTAGGAGTTTCTCTGATGAACTTCCTTCATCTAGAGAGTTGAAAGAATCAGAGTGTAAAATTAATGATGAAGTAGCACTGGGAGAAGAAACCATGGCAGCCTCTCCCTCCGGGTCTAAGGAAGGAATTCTTTCACCTGAGAGACACGACCTTCCTTCATCTAGAGAGTTGAAAGAATCAGAGTGTGAAGTTTATAAACGAGTAGCATTGGGAGAAGAAACCTTAGCAACCTCTTCCTCTGTACCCAAGGAAGGTACTCATTCACCTGAGAGACATCTACATAGCAGCAACTCTAGAGAAGATTGCATAAGAACCCTATCTGAAACAGGTAAGTGTCTGGCATTTATCTAGGATAGTCTTGAGCTTGATTGTACGTGAACTAACCCAGCTTCTTATTTATCCCTGATAGGAGTGCAAGGTTTGGACACAAAAAGTCCGGCTCCTGAGAAGAATGTAGGTAGCACCGTAACGGAGGAGGGACTACAGGGGCCTAATTCTTCAGAAGGTGGATTGGATACAAAAAGTTCGTCTCCTGAAACAAATGCTGATAGCAACTTAACCGCGGAGGAGGGACTACATAGACCTAATTCTACAGAAGATGAATTGGATACAGAAAGTTTGCCTTCTGAGAAGAATGTAGATAGCAACTTGGCAGCAGAAGAGGTACTACAGGGACCTAATTCTACGGAAGATGAACGGATGACCGAAGTGGAGAGTAATGTGATTGCCCTCACAGCTGCAAAGGAGACAAGTTCACCTTCACCATTGGTGGAGGAAGGAAAGATTGATGACTCATCTTCTAAGAGCCCTTGTGGTGAGAAGTTGGCACCAGAACTGGAGGAAACTAGAAATGATGAGAGTGGTAATGATGTGGTAGTAGCCATTCCTAATGAACCTGACTCTAATGATCCAGTGATGATGGAGGGAAAGATTGATGACTCATCTCCCAAGAGTCTTCTTGGTGAGAGGCTGGCAGAGGGACTGGAGGAACCTAGAAATGAGGATGGTAATGATGTGGTAATGGTCTCTCCTGATGACCCTGATTCTAAGGATCCAGTGGAGGAGGAAAATATTGATGCCTCATCATCTAAGAGTCCTCGTGATGAGAGGCTGGCAGAGGAACTAGAGGAACCTAGAAATGAGGGTGGTAATGATGTGGTAAAGGCCATGCCTGATGACCCCGACTCTGAGGATCCAGTGGAGGAAAGTATTGATGAGAGTCGTCATGGTGAGAAGTCGATGGAGAAATTGGAGGACCTTAGAAATGAGGAGGGTGCTGATGTGGTAGTGGCCATGTTTGATTACTCCAACTCTAAGGATACAGTGATGGAGGAAAATATTGATGATTCATCTTCTAAGAATCTTCATGGTGAGAAGTCGGTGGCGGAGCCGACAAATGAAGAGGGTGGTAATGATTTACTTTTGGTCACGGCTGATGACCTGGACTCTAAGGATCCGCTGATGGAGGAGGGAAAGATTGATGACTCATCTTCTACCAGTCCTCATGGTGAGAAGTTGGCAGAGAAAATGGAGGAGCCTATAAATGAAGAGGGTGGTAATGATCTGGTGGTGTCCACGGTGGATGACGGGAAGATTGATGGTTCATCTTGTGTGAGTCCTCATGGTGAGAAGTCAGCAGAAAAACTGGAGGAGCCCAGAAATGAAGAGTGTGGTAATGGTATGGTAGTGGCCTCGGCCGGTGACCCTGACTCATATTCTAAGAGTCCTCATGGTGAGAAGTCGGTGGCGGAGCCGACAAATGAGGAGGGTGGTAATGATTTACCGTTGGTCACGGTTGATGACATGTACTCTAAGGATCCGTTGATGGAGGAGGGAAAGATTGACAACTCATCTTCTAACAGTCCACATGGTGAGAAGTTGGCAGAGAAACTGAAAGAACCTAGAAATGAAGAGGGTGGTAATGATCTGGTGGTGGATAACCCTGACTCTACGAATACAGTGTCAGAGGAGGGGAAGATTGATGACTCGTCTTGGGCGAGTCCTCATGGTGAGAAGTCAGCAGAGAAACTGGAGGAGCCCAGAAATGAAGAGGGTGGTAACGATATGGTAGTGGCCTCGGCTGATGACCCTGGCTCTAAGGATCCAGTGGTGGAGGGAAAGATTGATGACTCATCCTCTAAGATTTCTCATGGTGAGATGCCGACAGAGGAACTGGAGGAGCCTAGAAATGATGACAGTAATGACGTGGTAGAGGAAAAGGGAGAAATTTATGACTCATCTTCTAAGAGTCCTCATGGTGAGAAGCCTGCAGGGGAACCTAGAAATGACGACAGTAATGATGTGGTAGAGAAGGGAAAGATTGATGACTTACCTTCTAAGAGTCAAGGTGAGAAGCTGGTAGAGGAACTGCAGGAACCTAGAGATGACGACAGTAGTGATGTGGTAGTGGAGGAGGGAAAGATTGATGACTCACCTTCTCAGAGTCCTCGTGGTGAGAATCCAGTAGAGGAACTGAAGGAGCCTATAAATGACGACAGTAATGATGTGGTAGTGGAGGAGGGAAAGATTGATGACTCATCGTCTAAGAGTCCTCATGGTGGGAAGCCAGCAGAGGAACTGGAGGAACCTATAAATGACGACAGTAATGATGCGGTAGTCGAGAAGGCAGAGATTGATGATTCACCGTCCAAGAGTCCTCACGGTGAGAAGCCGGCAGAGGAACCTAGAAATGACGACAGTAATGATGCGGTAGTGGAGAAGGCGAAGATTGATGACTCACCGTCCGAGAGTCCTCACGGTGAGAACCCGACAGAAAAACTGGAGGAACCTAAAAATGATAACAGTAATGATGTGGTAGTGGAGAAGGCAAAGATTGATGACTCACCGTCCGAGAGTCCTCGCGGTGAGATGCCGGCAGAGGAACTGGAGGAACCTGGAAATGACGATAGTAATGATGTGGTAGTGGAGAAGGCAAAGATTGATAACTCACCATCCAAGAGTCCTCACAGCGAGACACCGGCAGAGGAAGTGGAGGAACCTAGAAAAGATAACAGTAATGATTTGGTATTGGACAAGGGAAAGATTGTTGACTCATCTTCAAAGAGTCCTCATGGTGAGAAGCCCGCAGAGGAATTGGAGAAACTTGGAAATGAAGACAGTAATGAAGTGGCAGTGGAGAAGGGGAAGACTGATGACTCAACTTCTAAGAGTCCTCGTGGTGAGACTTCGGAGAAGGCAACCAATGAAAAGGGGGGTAACGATGCGTTAGTGGCCACACAGGCTGACCCCGAGTCCAAGGATCCAATGGTGATCGATGAGAAGACCAGCGTTTCTTCTGAAGAAGTTTCATTTCCCGAGTCTGCAGAACTGACAGAACAGGAATCAGTCACTTGAGGAAGACGAATTATGGCCTTTTGGGGCCGGATCCTTTTGGGTGGATGGATGAATCACATGAGGTTTCTGTATGGTAAGTTATGTGCAGAAGTAGTTTATGTTTTTTTTTTCCAGGTTAATGTAGCAACTCACAGCTCAGATTAGAGCGAGTGCTTAGTCGATATACACAGTTGGTATTGTAATCAAAGTTGTACTGCTCGCTGAATACTAGTAGTCTTCTAAGTAATCATCCTGCTAAGTTATCCTATTATTGACAGGTGCTTTAATTGATAATAGCCTTTTGTTTGGGTCCAAGTATGCGTTGAAAATGGATTGCTCTCGTCACCTAATTACTGTTCATATGACCATTTTATTATCAAAGGTGATTTTACATACTAATTCAGGTCTGGAGATGTTCATTGGGCAAGCCTACGACCAGTTTGAGAGGTTCACTGGATTACCAGGTAAATAAAACCACTTGAAACGACTGGGAGGATGAGTTAAAATTATCCAGAATGCGTGTAGAAAGTCTATGCCTTAGCTTTCTGACTTAGCTTTTTTCGGGTCTTTGGCAGCTCCTAAAGAACTCTTTCGTAGAACCATTGTCTAAGTATCGACATTCGCAAGGAAGTCCCTTTTTTTCCCCCTACGGAATTGATACCATCAAAGAAGATTATTCTCCCCTTCCTTCCCACTTCATTTTCGGGAACTAACTGAAGAGTGGTTTACCAATTAATTCATGCATCTTTGAAAGTAAATCCTCGTAGTTCGGTACGTAATTCAGTTCAGTATTGTAGCTAGTGTCTCGATTGGAGTATGGAGCTGGTAAAGAAAAAATAAAGGAGCGATAGAAGCAAGTGCCAGTCGGCTTCGAAGAGCCGACATCGTTTCTGCCGCCTCCAATGGATAGAGGTAAGTTGTGGCCGGAATCCTGCTCTCGAGGGAGTGGAGTCCTGGAGCGAATTACTCATTGTTGTCTTGCCCCAACCCCAGGAATGGCATTTGGTGAGGTGGTGTCCTTTCAATCAACTAGTGCTACTCCCTGGCTTCCCTCCTCCACAGAAGACTTGCGGCAATAGCTTGTGTCACTTCCTTGCATGGACAGCTACCACCTCTTCTCTCGACTTTCCTTCGCTTTTTGTAAAGGCCTGTTGGGATGGCCCAAATAAGGTACGAGGAGTGAATGAAACAATTTTCAATCTAACAATTTCGACAAGAAACATTCCTATCTTTCAACCACTACAATAGGTGGGGTAGCTGGCGGATCCTCGAGAGGGGATAATGAAGAAAACAGATCAAATGGCATCCCCAAGCACATGCGGATATGGAACGCGTGTCTAGTTCTCCCAAAAAAGTATATGGAGATTTCAGTGCTAGAGTTGGGAATGGATCAAGTCAGTAACCTTATGGTGGGTAACCATGAGTAACCCGTCCACATCAGCATGACATCAGCATCCTCTCTCTCATGGAAAACCTTTAATTTTTCCCTCTTTAATCTTTGACGGACGATTTCTCGCTCATTTTAAGTCGAAATTTAATTTTTTTTGCACAATTAGATCAGATTAATTGTGCTCTTCAAAATGATATCCACTTTAATATATTTTTCGAACAAAAAAAAATTGAGCCGTTTTTTACCAGCCTATACCATATGGTATTGACTGGTATTGAAATAAAAGCATACCTATGTTTTGAAAAACGTACCATGGTGGTATGAACAAACCAATACTGTAGGATGGTTGAATACATGATAGTAGAAGTATATTAATTGTAATTTACGACTTTTAACATTGTATACCACAGAATACCACCCCGTACCAGGGTGGTATTGTATGGTATTGTGTGGTATTTTTTGGTCTTGTAATTTGTTCACCCAGAAATTTGTAGATCCAATAGATCATGATGAACTCGTCCCTTCTGTGCAAACGTTTTCAAAAACGAATTAAAAACGAATTAAAAACGAAGAAGATACCATACAATACCACCCCGTACCAGGGTGGTATTGTATGGTATTGTGTGGTATTTTTTTGTCCTGTAATTTGTTCACCCAGAAATTTGTAGATCCAGTAGATCATGATGAACTCATCCCTGCTGTGCAAACGTTTTCAAAAACGAATTAAAAACGAAGAAGATACCATATGGTATGCAGTTGGTACCGAGAGGCCGGAATTTTTTTGTCCTAAAAAAATATTGAAAATTGATCTCATTTTGTAGAGCACGGTGAACTCGTTCCATCTGTGCAAAAAAAAATTAAAATCCGAGTTAAAACGAAAAAGATATGAGTCAATTAAGAAAGCTAGTGAAAATAAAAACAGCCTTTAATTCTCCATCCCCAGAGTTGTAACCTGGAAATTTAAGTTTTTGGTTGTATTAAAAAAACTTCTAGCACCGAATGGTAACTGGCTGGTTACAAAGTGCGGACTATTCCCATACATTAGATACTAGTTTTTTACCCGGCCCGTTGGCCGGAAAATTTCATTTCATCATTTATAGAAATTAATTTATCTATATGTTTAAAAAAAATTAATCTTCTAACTTTTTTATGCTAACACTTCATAAGTGAGTATGCTATATGTTCATATTAAAAATTCTCAATATTTAGCACACCCACCTATGATGTTCATAGGTTTCGATTCTCCAATCATAAATCATATTTTAAAGGTTTATCACGTCACATTTAGAATACATACAGAAGTTTGTCAACCAACCCACTCAAATTTCTAATATTATAAAACATATAATAATTCGTGATTCTCGAGTTATGACAAACTCTCAAACAATTATTAAGAGTCCAGATTATTGGATAGAAATACTTGATTATTGGATAAAATGTGTTTATCCCAAGTGAAACTTGACACACGCCATACTCCTTACATTTTTGTTTTGACATTTTGATATGGTAAAATCTTTTTTTATTGCCAAAATTTGATATGGAGTCGCATACTCACAACCATGCAACCAAATGACTTATTAGAATTGCCTTGTTGATCTCATGCTTATAAAGATTCTTCATTTTTAACCTAATAGCTCGGTTTAGAGTCTTCTAACTATAAAGGCCTTTAATGTAGAAGACATTCAACCATTAAACGAAAATTGTCAACCCATGTTTGATTAATGCTAGGTCAGTGGTTGATGAAACATAATGTTTATCGTACATCGTCAACAAAGATTTCTCTAACACTCACGTGCCATATAATACGTGTACATCATCAAGTGTCTATCCAGACCTTTTCCTATATAATACTTATTTTATTTTATAGATATATTAATTAGAAATAAGAGTGAGGATGGCAATGGGGCGGGTTAGCCTAAACCATCACCATCCCCATTTTGAAATACCTAAACTCATACCCGCCCCATACCCATACGATGGAAGGTTTTACAAACTCATCTCCATACCCGCGATTTTCAGATACCCATGGCCATGGGTAATACCCGCCCCATCAGCTACTCACCATAAAAAAGATGTAAAAAATATGGGTACTATCTGCCCAAACTTATGAAACTAATACATAAGTGGATGAAATTACGGTTTGGTTGCCATCAATTACATAAGTGGATGTTATATTTTCTGCATATAACATAATATCCTCGGTGGGGCGGGTTTGGGTATGGGGATGGAGATTTCAAAAGCATATCCGCCCATCTCCATCAAAAATTTTGCGGGTTTTCCCCATTCCCAATCAATGCGGAGATTCCCCGTATTGACTGGGTCGAACACGGTTGGGTACCTGCGACCATGAGTTTGGTTGCCATCTCTAAATAAGAGAGTGTTTAATAGCCAAAAATATAAAAATAACATAGTTCATTTTTGAAAGTAGATTGATTTCTAACAGTTATTTTCTCTATTTCCATCATTATATTTTGTTTAATCGATGAAAATATTATTGTTTATGTGTGTGTTTGTTTAAAATTTTCAATAACATATAACTTATTATTTAGTTTCAGTAAAAAACAGTAGAAATTTTACTTGACCAAGTTTAATAAGATATTTTTTGTTTAACTAAATGTGATATATCATTAAAAGAAGAGAGATAACTCCATAAATAGTTCATTAACTAATTTTTTTGTTTTTTTTTCTTGTACAAAAATTGTCCACCTTGGACAAAGAAGAAGTAGAAAGGAAGAAAAAAAAAAGCTCTCTCCTCTCTCTTTCGTGGGGAGTGGGAACGAAGTATTCGCCGCTGTGCGACTCGCCGACTCGGCCACTCCGCCATCGTGCTCCACCGGTAACGGTCTGCGGGACGATGGGGGTTTTAAAGCCACCACCCTGGGCTATGCGATTCCATTCGCCAATCTGGGATTCGTGGCCTCCTTGTGTTCAATTTATTGCAAGTTTCTGGTTACCCTACCTCTCTTCTCGCACCATGGCTGGAGTGAACGCGGTGGTTTTCAGCGATGAAGACATCGCTGCCGGTGCTCAGCGCAACGACCTCTCACTGTTGGGAAGGGTGGTTGGCCCGATGCCCTCAGTTCGCCACCTCCAATCGACGCTGGGGAGACTCTGGCATTGTCGCGGAGCCATTTCAGTTCTCCCGGCGCCGGAAGGGTTGCTGCAGTTCGTGTTTCCGTCAGCAACGGACATGAACCGGGTGCTTCGGGAGACGCCATGGTTCCTCCCCAAATTCCTTGTGCACCTCGCCCCTTGGGTGGAGGTTTCCCTGGAGGTTGCAGACCAACTTTGGCGTATACCGCTGCAGCTTCAATTCTGGGGAGTTCCTCCGCCTTGTTGTACTTCCAAGCTGGGCACTCTCCTTGGTCTGGCCCTAGGGAAGAGCGACCCTGCTTCGGTTCACCGGGTAACCGCCACGGGCGAACTCTACCTCAATGCTAAGGTATGGATTGATGGGCGCCTCCCCCTTCCAGTGTCAATTCCGGCATCCCATGAGAAGGTCGGCAGGGGAGGATTCACGGCGATCGTCAAATACAAGCGCCTGTCCCAATTCTGTTACCTCTGTGGGGTGTTGGGGCACATTGGGCAGCAGTGTCCTCGGCGCGAGGAGCTGGCTGGTACTGACACTCCCTACAGCAAAGATATTGTCTCACAGCAGTCTGGGCCGAAAGTACATGATCGTCTGTTGCTGAGTCGGAAGCAATTCACTTGGGTGAGGCAGGAGATGGCAAATCCAGCGCAGTCTGCTACCCAAGCATCGAGTGGATTTCTACTGCCAGCGCCACCATCTGGGGGCTCTGTTCCTGCTGCTAGTGGGGAGACTTCGACTCCAACGATCAGGGGTAGAGACATAGACATGGGAGGTGTGGATGATGAAGTGAAGAACAAGAAGGCTCGACGGGACTCATTGGGGATGGGACCTGCC